TGGCGAAGCGATGCACTGCTATCCGATTTGAATATAAGTTATGTTGAGGTAAACACCAAAAGGATCAACGCCAGGTACATTAGGTGATTTGCTTAGTTGGGAACGAGAGAGGTAAGAGAATTCCGCAAAAATGATAACATTGAGATTAGCTAAACTTCGGCGGATAACCATCGGCAACAGGAGTAGATGAATGTTTCATTCGGAGTTCGGAGGTTAGGAGCTCTGTTGGGGCGTATCTAACAAGAAGGATGTAATTTTGAAGCTGAAACACGATCTGTTGTGTGCTATTGAGCAGCTCAGAATGACTAGAAGACAAGTACTGAATAGTTCACCGTTTGAAGCTTTTTTGGGCATGAACAAAACGATTCCAGTCAAATATTTGTGCGAATAACAAAATTCTACTGGAATTCTGTGTGATAATTAAAAAAGAGGACGAGGAGATACAGAAACACCGCCAGGAATTGGAAGAGGAAGTGCACTAGGAGCTAGTCCTGACATTACCTTCATAAAAGCACCATCATTGACAACAACAAAGCAGAGTAATGTTTGAGAGACATGAGTTGGGTTAACTTCTTGTACTATGGCAGCACGGCAAACACTGCCCAACAATTGTTTGAACAGCAGGTTCGAAGCAAAACATCCAAAGGAACTCGAAAAGAGGAGACTGGGTGTCAATTTTTCACCAGCATGAGAATTGGCAGTGTGTGAAGACATACTAAGCAGTTTGACGATGTGATTTCGACCTTAAAGTGAATTTTGATATGGAGCCGACCTTTTGATCGGATGACATCTAAAGTGTAAAAATGATCAAATAGATAACATTTCGCTAGATTCGGAAGTCGTCTAACTAATTTTCAGATGTATATTTTCCTGTTCTAGAAATAATCATAACAATCCTTGCTGAGTGTGGTACCATATACAATGAATTCAATTGAAGATACGTAGCTATGAGTCGGTAGGACATATCCGTCTGCTCAACTTTATTTTGCGAACACATCGCTTCCGATATTGGCAGAAAGTGCAAGGAAGTTTTCAACCAGTCTACTTGCTGAGTATATGCGGACCTGAAATTAGTATTACGTTTAAAAAACAGCCTTGCTAAACTCTTCAAGCGTAGCACGTCTAAACTTATCCGATTTCTTTAAGTGGATCACCAGATAACGAAATGTTAACAAACGCCTTTAGAAATGTTGTCTGTATCGTATTTTTAATTAAGTCATTTTCTGGTAGTAATCATTCTGCGCAGTCTCGTAAGACGTTTCTGTGAAAAATGGTTTATCAATGATTTTATTTCAACACTAACATTTGGTTTTCAGCTAACCACTAGTTATTAGGTTAGGAAGCCAACTTCTTCGCAAAAATCAAACTTCGTAGTGACCGCCTTAACCATACAATCATTAGTGTACAAGATGTGAAGCGCTCATTTATCATTTTATTATAAGGGGTTTCGGGTAACCAATTTTGCATTTTCACATCTAAGTCACTGTTAGAAAACCTCGAATAATTTTAAGTCAAGATGGGGATGCCCAACCGAGAATACTGTTTGACGGCATAAAGTACATTCTTGAGATCTTTTACGGTTTCTGGGTATTTAACGAATCAAGGATGTCAATACTTACTACAAACGCCAAAGAGTACTCAACAAAATAGCCAAAGGAAAGTGTCTGAAAAATTGATAAGACTGGCAGAGTCTGTTCAATTTTTGACACCAAAACCAGCGCACTATGTACCGAAACCAAATCAACTAGATCAGCAAATATCGCAAAGATTTTAAAAAAGTCGAATTCGATGACCCGATTGTGAGAGCAGTTCCTACCTTGATTTCTTGTGACAACCAACCAACATGGTTTTTAAGCTTAAGCCACAAACTAAGCTTCACTTTGAAAGCAACCGTCGTCGGCAACTGCATATGTCAGAAACAGATAACAATTCTTTTTCCAAAGGAAAACTTGACTAGAAAGTCGGCAACCCTATTTTTCCGGACACAACAGCTACTAATGATAAACTGGATTTACTGTTTATACTTGAATAAAAAAAACACTTTAATTGCACATCGAAATTAATTTCAATACACAAGTGTATGTCAAATGTTTTCTGTTTTTTTTTCCTATCAGTTCATAAAAATATTATAACATCATTAGATACTAATAGTTACAATATTAATAAACAAAACGAACTCGATTACAATTATCGATGATTACTTTTCACCTGAGAGCTTCAAGGTGGTTGATAAATAAATGTTATTATATAAACTTGAAGCTTTTCAATGAAACTTTACCATGAGTTGCCACAGAGGGGTCTTCTTTAAATAATAATAAATAACAATTTTTGAATTTTATCTTTGCTTTTCTGTATGTTACTATGTCTTTAAAGTTGACTTTATCATCTGTGAGTTTGTTCCAGATTATGACGGACTTTTTAAAGAAGGAATTTTCTATGTATTGCCCATTGTATCTGTCGCCGAAATATAATTTTTTGTTTCTTGTATTAATATCTATTTGGTGGTTATCATACTCAATGTTATAATAGGCTGGCAATAATTGATGTTGTATTTTCCAAAACTGACATAATATTTTATAGTCCAGAAACATTGTTACTGGTAATATATTGTGTTTTAGCTTCAAGTCTGAAGATGAGTCGTATTTTGCTCGATCGCAGCAAGTTTTTACTGCCCAGCTTAACTGTTTTTCCAGAGATATCATTAGGTTAGCGGATATTCCACTTAAAAGAATTGCTGGGTAATGCAAATGACTAATTACCAGTGCATGCATTATCAAGAGTCTTGTTTTCACTGGCAATGGCTTTTTGATTGATTGAAGTGTTTTTATTCCGCATGCCATTTTCCTGAGAATATTTTTGATTTCATCTTGGAATGTGAGAAACTGATCTAAAACTACTCCTAGGTATTTAACATTGGTTTTTTCCTCAATTATTTTATCAGAGTTTTAGTATACTTTTCATCCTTTTTCCTTGAATGTTTTTTGCTGAAAACGATGAGTTCTGTTTTTTTTTGCATTCAATTGAAGTGAGTGTTCTAAAAAATAATTTGACAATAGACTGCAATTGGCTTCGAGTGCTTTAATAGGTTTTAGTGGATCGTTATTTTCACAGAATAGTAATGTATCATCCGCATATTGAACTATTTTACATGTTTTGTCAATTTGTTTGTTGAGATCGTTAATGTAGAGATTGAATATTAGAGGGCCAAGGACAGTACCATGTGGGACACCCTGCTCAAGTGTAATCCAATCGGATTCGGTGTTGTTAACAATTGTTTTCTGACTTCGGTTGGTGATAAAGGAATTGATCATTTCTATAGCTTCTTCGGAAAAATTCAACCCTTTTAGTTTTTGTTTAAGATAAGTATGATCAATAGAATCAAATGCTTTAGAGAGATCCAGTAAGGAACATGCTACAGTTTTGTTGTTGTCTATTGCTTTTCTGAATGCTTCAGTGCAATAAAGAATATCGTCGATTGTTGAATATGATGTTCTGAACCCAAATTGGGTAATACTTAGTAATTTTTGGGATATCAGATATTCGTTTATATAACAATTTTTCAAAAACTTTTGAAAGAGCCCCAGTTATAGAGATAGGTCTATAATTTACTGGTAGTTCTGGATCTTCTTTTTTGTATATTGGTGTGACAATTGCTTTTTTGAGCTTGCAAGGATATGTCTTGTTTTTCAAAAACTCATTGTATAGAAATGTCGGATGTGTGTATATTTCATTGCAGCCATCCTTCAGTGCCCAGGTTGGAATTTTGGATGGACCTGGTGCCTTTCGACAATTTAAATTATGTATTTCTTTTTTACATTCAGCTGATGTGATGAATCGGAATGAAAATTTATTATTATTTCGAATTTTGCATGTAGAAGTCGGTGGACTTTGCCTGATTTTTGAATTTTTCTCATAAAAGCATCCAAGAGTTGAGAACTTGTAATTTAGCAGGTTCGTCATCTGTAAATTATTGGTTATGAAATCGCCGAAGGAGTTTCTGAGTTATGGAATGAGGTTGGAAGATGTTTTGAGTTTCTTGTATCGTTTATTATACTCCATTTTTCGCGTTCGCTTTTTTTCGAGTTAAACAGTTGGGAAATAAATTTATCATCTTCGTAGTTTTCCTTTGGTTAATCGTTGCGAATGAAAATAGTCTTCTGTGGGGCACATTCTTTGATGGTGTCAGCAATGTTAGATGTGAAGATGTCGAGCATTATTTCGGGATTATTATTGCTATAGAAACTTTCAAAATGAACATTTGCGACTCAGATTGGAAAAAAAAGAGTTTATACAATCACACAAACTTTGCTTGTCAATATCAAGGTAAATCAATAAATTTTTCAACGTATATCAAACTCTATGCCATATACAACTCAAGTCAATTGATTCTGGTCGTCAAGTCATGATTGCAGATAAGTCAAGCGGTAAAAATTAGGTTAAACATAAGTTGAAATCAAACTGCCAGTGATAACGCTCATTTTCTTTATTAGCAATCAAGCTCCTACGCATTTTTGATGTTCATCTAAGTGCTACATTTTTCTTCCGAGTGAAATAACCTATTAGTTCCTTGTATAAGTTACTTGTATTGACCTTACTTGTAACGGGTGCCGTTCTGTTTGGGCACTTCAATGTACATGGGTTTGTTAGATCCTGAGAAGTACCATTCAAACTCAATAAAAAATTCTTTTCTTGAATAATTTATTACCCTCAATATACAATTCATAACTTTAAACTAGTTTTCTATAGTAAAACAATTCGAGCTGAATTCTAGGTTGAACGAGTAATTAACTTCTTTCAGACACTTGTCATCAATTGAAGGTTGCTAAGAAATCGAACACTTTGCCGTCACTCAAATCTATTCTAGCTTTTAGCAGCGCATATGCACCTCTAAATTGGTTTCTGAGATGTTTGAAATGTCCTTTTTTCTTATGAAATTTACTCGGCAATCAAAGAATAAAGTGAGAATGCGCTGCTCAACTTTTCCATTCCGAGAAAAGACGCCAAAGATAATCAGATACTTCGTTCAACCAATTTATTTTAAATTGTTTTCAACTTCAGCAGAAACTCATGTCAGTCTTAGAGAAGAGGTGGCAAAGGCGTCTCCCTTATACTTGGCTACATGCTCCAACAGTAGAATTTTCTTGCCCAGACTCTTTGGCGTCTCGTTTCCGAAAAGGATGCTGAGATTCTGGATGAGATTTTCGTTCGTGTTCTTCTTGATCGGAGACTGTTTCATCACCCTGTCCAGAACAGTCGAGGCGTCCTTGATTTTGCCCAAGTACACATTTGTCACTGCCAGATTATTACACGCTAAAACAAACACATTTCTATGGCATCACTACGCTTGTTTTCACTGTTTTATATTCATTCATCTGCAATACTCACACAACTGAGCCGACAGACCAATGGAAAACTTAATTGCACTCAATGAGAAAAGGCAGAATTTTCTTTCTTTGAGCAAATCAAGTTGAACTTAACAGGAAAACAAGTCAAAAGTCAACCTGTGAAAAACCCAAATTTAAACGTGAACAACTTTTCTTTTTCCTAAAAAATGAAAAGGACGTAAGTTAGTTTATTTACAGCGCTTATTGACACTTAATAATCGGTGCATACTCACCCACAACGTCTTTGGGGTTATCTTGTACAATATGTTGGAACTGAACCATAGCGTCTTTGTACTTATTCTGTGCCACAAACAGCAGGCCTCTGTTCATGTACACCTGGTGGTCCAGCTTCATCAAATCATTCACACCCATAGTTGCGACCCCACTGGAAGAAAGATTAGACGCCGCCTTCACCTCGCTTGTTAAGGACTCTACTGATTTGAAATAGACAGCAGCTCGTTTCAGATCGCCCAGTTGCAAACAACATCGGCCAATTGCACTTGAGAGGTGTATTTTGTCTTCCGGGAGGTCGCAGAGGCGTCTCAGAAGTCGGTCGTATGTCTCCAAGGCAGCACTGTAGTCCATGCACTGCAGGAAACAGTTGCCGATTGAGTAGAGCACCTGAACGAAATTGATACTTAAATAGGTTTCGTTGTTTCAGAAGCACAGCTCTGAGGATATTCTCTGCTATATACATTCCAAATCACAGCACTCTTTTAAGAATCAAACTTCATTCGAGAAAACTAGAAGTATCAAACAGATCCAACCTTTCATAGCATCAGAACAGGCAAGTTATTGAAAATAAAATTACTTGATTTTCCTTTTCCGTCCAGTATTTGATAGCTAGCTTCAAATATTCGCTGTAGTCTATAACATGTCCATTGTGATCCTTTCCTTCAGACAACAAATTCATTAACTTCGAGACTGACGACTGAAGACGACTCAAGCGGTCCAAACTCTCGTTATACTTTCCACAATAGGAGGGCATTTCGGCCCACAGAAGTCGCAAACAGAAAGGCACAATGGACCCACTTTTTCCCCGATACAAATGAGGGTAGTATTCAAAGCACAAATCTGCCTTTTCGAACTCCCCGAAGAAATCGAGCTCACTTTCAGCCGCCGAAAACATCTTGAGCTAGAAACAAATTACAAGAGTTGAAATGTGTAAACACAGCCAACATGCAGTTGGAAAAGAGTCAATGAATACAATGAGACCGAAGAAAAATGGCGAGCTCTTCGAGTTTCAGAAAAAACTAGTGTGTAAAGCACCTCCGGTGCTTCTAACTAATTAGGGAACGTGAAAACGGTTTCATTATAAAGTATATAAAAATACAACCAAATGAATGCAACCGTAACAATAGACTGGTAATCCAACAACGCTTTTAATTTCAAAAACAGAACGATAAAAAAAATTTCAACTAAACGGTCAAATCTCAAAAACTACTGGTTTTTAGATTTTCGTATTTGAACTCATAAACGAAACCCTTAAACAGCCGACCGCATACAACTGCAATTTCCATATTAAAAAAAACTTTTGAAACGATTTCATTTGCTAAATCATCAAATTCATAAATGAGATTCATAATCCAGCGTGAATATCACTTTTTTTGTTTTAAATCTACGTTTAAGGAAAAACTTTGAATCTTCAAAAATCCCAATTTTGAAAACTTAGAAATTTGAGCAATAATAACAGGATGAGAGGACACATCTGCATGCGCTGGTGGTAACCTGACATCACCCAACCACAAGTTCGACAACTTTGAAAATTACTAAAAAAAAAAAAACATCATATCAAAGAAAGTATAAGACGTTGAGCAGTCAACATTGGATTCCAGACAAACATCTTGAGAGCATATTGAGAGCAGCCAACCATAGTTTTGAAAAACTCAAATTTTGGAAAGTTTTTTTTTGAGAACTTTCGAAAAAGCATAAAAAACGGCATATCTCAGAAACTATGATGATTTGAGAAATCAAACTTATAGGCAAGATCTGCAACCTCTGAGAGTAACCGGGCAACGCTCCACTAAAAAGTGAGAATTTCAAATTTTGAAAAGTTTTTTATGAAGCTAAAAAGTTTGGGAAGCTAAAAAGTTTTTTATGAAGTTTGGGAAGCTAAAAAGATTTGAGCACTGATATTTGGAGGCAAGATTTGCGACGCCTGAGAGTACTCTGACACTACCTCACACTGTAAAACTGAAAATTTCAATTTTTGAGGAATTATTTAAAACATAAGTTTCATGAAAATTTTCGAAAAAATCACAAGAATCGTCGAATTCGAAATTGAAACCAATTTTTGAAATTAATGTCGAGCTAACTTAACCGCATTTTATAATTTTGTTTAGAGAGATTGTACACTATTCTCTTTTTGGGTAATATAGTTTTACAGAAGGAAGCTCCAAAAAGTCAAAATGCAACAATAAAAACTTAGCGTGTCTTAAGAACCTCGTCGTAAACAAAATCAGTTTACATCTTTACTTAAATATCAGGAAAAGCGAAGCTGCATGTCGCAACAACAAGCAAAACAACGGCTGAAGAGAAAAAAGCTCTTAACATTTAAGAAAATAGCCTCAAGAAAAGGAAAAAAACTTTGACTGCGGGATTCGCATCAATGATCTCCTGATTAGAAAACATAATTTACCATCAGAGCAGTGTCGTTTATTTACTAGAAGTAAATACCCTGTAGCAGTAAATGTGCTTTGATTAAACGGATAGATTGATTCCATTTGATGTCTTGACGTCAATTCCAACTGTATCGCACTTGAACGTCTACATTTTATCAACGGCGAATTTAACACCGTACATTTTGATACCCAGTCATTTCACTTCCAAGAAATTTCAATCCTTAACAATCTAATTCTCATTTTATGATTCAAAACCAATATTAAAGTTGTATGAGCTCCTTATCTTAACCCTATCAAACCAAAATTCATCCTGCAATTAATGCACGCATCACATTAAAAAACTTGGTTTATCTAAGTTAAAATTAGAAAATAATTTGGCAAGACTCAATTTCTAATTTTAACTTAGATAAACCAAGTTTATCGCCAAGTTCGTAATTTAATTTCAATTAGATGTTTAGTTAAACCATGATTGATTTTAAAAAAACTTGGTTGTGCTACTTTATAACAAACTGACATAAAATTTCTGACAAAAATAAAATTCTGACTATCATTGTCTGCTGTACTCAAGTCTTAAACAGAAGCAAACAACAAAAACATATATGATTGACTCTTTCGAATTCACAGTTTTATCTTGAGCGAAACACAAATAAGTTTAATGAAAACAAGATTTGCTCAAAATATAAATTACATAAATATCGAGCGTCTGCCATTATATCGAATTGATTGAGACGCGTAGAAAGCACAATTATGAATTTCAGCGGGAAAAGTAGATTCTCGAGAAATCGTCCATCATTTAAAAGAGCTCAGCGAGAGATTTGAGATTTATACCGACTGTCGCAGTTGCCAGTGAGGTTTTTGCCATAAGCCAACGATATGATCACTCAGTTTCCCTCCCAACTACAACCAAACTAATTCGTACGGCTGCACGCACGCGCAAGCAGCTAGATGTAAATATTCCACCCATAGGTGATGCATGAAAATCGAGATTCCTGAAATTTTCGGAAACTATACAGTGTGACAAAAATTAAATGATCAAGTTCAAAATATTTTGTGCGGTGACCCCAAAATGCGGAGGTTTTGGAAAACACCATCTTTCTGATTAGCCGATCAACCTTCACAACTGCTCCCAAAAAGTTTTATAGCTATATTCAATTCATGTTTCTGTATCTGGCTTGCATATACGCCTTACTTCTGAACAAAACCAAAAAAAAAACCATAATCGGTGTTTGCAGGTTTTGATTGATTTATCACCAAACTTACGACTCGAAATTTTTTTTAGATTTTGAGCAAGCTGATTTGCAGTCATCCCAAAACAAAAATTCCCTGAGCGCATTTAACGCATAAATCTTCCATCTCGGATTATTCTTCACATAAACACATGAAAAAAAAATCAAAACACTGCGTCTCAAAGAGACCTGCAAAACCAATCAGGATTCACCGTTGACCCTAAAAATGATGCCTTCTCTTGCATTTGAAAAAAGACCGGCAAATTTTATGATTTGATCGTTCAGTAAGTTTAAACTGTTTAGAGCAGAAAACTGTTTAGAACCCAAAATAGAAAACATTGCCAAGCTGTGTCTTTACTTCGGCTCTTTTTATTTAAAATGCATGACTCCTCCGTACAAAAACTTACAATTTTCGATGCATCGAGTGACCATAAACTCGCACAGAAGAAAAAGCACCGCATTTTAAATGAAAGTCAAAATCATGTCTGTGTACGAAATCAAAACTGATCTAATTTTCAGATCATTATCTAGTTAGCGTCAAATTAGTGTAAGCTGTATCTTGTTGTCGTTTGATTCATTAGTACCTTAAAAATTTAATCCTTCTTAAAACGTTGTCAGCTTTTTTAGAAGGCCGTTTATTTGCAGAGTCCCAGAAGACATGTACTGAACGCAAGGCTGTAGCTCGTGCACTATCAGTTTATTCCCAGGAAATACCTTTTTTGGAGATGCTTGGTTGAGACTAGGAGCTGGCAAACCCTTAAAGTATGTGTTTATGTGCCAAAAATTCAAAAAAAGGTGATCAAATTGATCAGGTTACATGATTAAGCAAGAGAAAGATTCAAAAATTGAATGAAAGATTTTGGCATTAGTAGAACATTTTTAAATTTCTGTGCGGCTGAAATAAGTAGAAAATCACGCCAAGTTAAGTTTAAGAACAATTTATTAATTGAAAACTTTTGAAGTTCATCGAACTAAAGCTTGTTTTTTGTTCGCATCGTTTTAACAATCCGAATTATTGGCAAGGTCATTTCTGATCAAACTAAATAGCGCGAAACTATCTGACTTTAAATGGCAAAAACTCTTCTTATTATATTCTTTGATGTTTACCGAAATAACCCTTGAATTATTTTTTTAATTTTGGATAAAAAAAAAGATGTTAAGTTATAGAAATGGCTTTCAAATGTAATAATTTTAAATGGCTAATGTAACGAAATTTTTAAAATACATTTTTAAATAGTGTGAGCCATCTCACTTAAGACTAAAACAACTTATGAGACTCTAATTGTTGGCAGCATTGAGTAACTTCATAGATTAAATCACAATTTTTTGAGCTGAGATCGAGGCATGTTGAAAATATAGCCAACAGAAAGTTGGTAACGTGTCAAGGAACAAAAAAAATTGATTGAATTCTTTGAAACTTTTTCAATTTGAAGAAAAAATATATGAGCTCTTCGCAGTTCAGGAACCTGTTACGATCGACGGTTCTTTCATAAAACTGAAGCAATTAGGTTATGTTTTCATTCCGCTGGGAAATGTAGACATTTAAATCGACTTTCGAAACTCAAAGTAATTAATCATGATTTTTAGATTTTCACGTTCGTAAGAGGGCGTAATTTCCATTACTTCCAGCAGACGAGTTTGATGTGACCTTTGAACTTGAGTTGAATCCAAAAATCAAACCGCGAAAGATAAGTCTTGGGCGTAAGCAAATTTTAGACTTTTTAAGTAGTTGATGGAAATTAAAGTGAGGTAGTAGATTTGTTGACCTTAAAATCAAGCTTGTTGAAATTGAAAATCAGGAATTTTGAAGTTTAACCCAAAAAATATATAATTAGTGCAACTGATTTTGATTGAAAATTGAAAAACTTTATACAAATAAATCTCTTGAGAATTCAAGGATTAAACAATCATGAACACTACTTGCATTGCAATTCTGATTACTTTGTCTCCAGAGATGGAATTTGACTGAGTGAACAGAAAGATTGTTTTTAGAAGCAGTTGAGACTTTTAGAAGCAGTTGAGAAAAGAATGACCTTGGTCAAGATAATGATTCTAGCGTGCCATATTCTGATGGACTGGACAGTATGTTTGGACATGTGGGAGGCCATGCCTCTGCCCTGGTTGAACCCAGTCAGTATCTTGTCCGTCAACTCCAGTGCTGCTCTGAAGTTCTCATTCACCATCAGCACCTGCAGTCCCTCCTCATCTGCACTGAGCATGGATGACTTGCACAAGTTGCGTATGTTCTTCGTGTATTTACTCAGCAGGTCTTGAAGTGGGTCGCCTGAAACAAAAGCAAAGCAAATCTAATCCGACTTATTCACCCAAGTTGCAACAAAACATTTTATAACTCACAAACATCAGCATCAACAACATCACCTTGCTTGTCGACCAAATTGTATCTTTGAAAAACATTAACCTCAAATCCGAGCAACGGAGTTTGCATAAGAAACAGTACCTTAGATTCACAACAAACCCTGATCTAAAATAAATTTCAGTTTAACTGAGTGTTATTAAACTTTTCAACCTTGTGCAGACTCGATGATTCCAGGAGTAGTTATCTGGTCTCTTTCCAATGAAGTGTTGACCGGGCTGGTCATGAATCTATTAATGGCTGTGGCTACACTCGGCTTCCAAACCCACATGGCCGCTATGTCTTCATTCTCCATTTTGTCTGGCGGAATCAGAGTGGGTCTCTCCAGCTGAGAAGTTTCTAGAACATTGGCGTGTTCGGAGGACTCGTTGTCAAAGCTCCACATGCGATGTCTGTCATCATCTTTCAACGTGAGAGTATCCTCTTTGGCAGATGTACTACCACTACTACTGCTGTCTGGGTTGTAGGAGTCTATAGGAGTGGTGTGAAGCATCGACCTTTCCTCACTTTGTGCCTCTCCGAAACTCTAACAAAGACAGCACAGATATTGATGCTTCTTATAACACTTCATAACAACAGAATGCCAAATAGCCATTGTCAGAAACACAGGCGAAGGGTAGCTTCGCACCGTTAGCGATGCAAAAATTATCTGCGGTTCAAGTAAAATAGAATATGAGGTAGGTGCCACATATTCCGAAAATGTCCAAAATTTCCCATGACAAACATAGCCACGAAAACTGGAACAATAGTAAAATTTATAATTCGCTGGAAAAATTGGTACTTAAATTCCATTTTTGAAGCTAGAAGTGAGTAAATACTTGAATTGTATTCGAGTCTAACACGTAATTTTGTGACTTGTCAGATGCACGCAACCAACTTTCCCTCAGAATTAGCCGCCCCAGATTAACAAATTTTTACTAATCATCTCTAAACAACCCACAAAAATCAAATTTAAGGCACAGGGGGTCTTGTTTCGACATCGCTGAGACTAACTTACATTTAAACATGTGTAGGTTGTGCATCCCTACTCTAGCTACGGAAAAAGGATGTTGGACACAAGAAAATAGTCATATTTAACCTGGTTTGATGATGCAGTTATAGTATTAGAGAGTGCGTCCAATGATGATTGATTTTGGATTCCTCCTACTGCCGGCTCCTGGGCCATGAAACCAGAGGCGCCTCCATATTGTCCATTGAATCCGAAATCATTAGTTTGATATGCAGCAGCAGCTGGCAGATTGCCAACTTGCGCATTGGCAGACAGATTGTTGAGCCCCGCATTTCCGTTAATCGCATTGGTCGGGGTAACTGACCGCTCCGTACTGAACATGCTAGGTGGAACTGCATTGTCTGTTCCTTGTGATGACTGAACATTAGGGTTGTAAGATGAACTTTGACTTTCCGAGCTGTACATATACTGAGCGTCGATAATCAGCTGGTTCATCCCTTGATTTGCATTTCCAATTTGATTTTGCATATTCTATACAGAAAAACTCAATCTAGGAAATGTCTAAGAAAAAAATGAGAAACATTGGTTTCATTCTTGACCAAAAACCCTTTTCTAGCAAATCCTTCTCCAGCGAAATCAGCGAAGGTGAAAAATCAGCAAACATTTGGAGCTACGTTTCGCAAACACAGGGGCAAAAATAGCAGAGGGGAGCTTCATAATTGCAAGCAGGGGCGGATTTAGGGGTCCCCCTTCGGTACTATTTTAAGACATCCTTTTTTTGTTTGATCAGCCCCAAAATTTTCCAAAATATATTAATTTTGAAGGAGAGCGCGCAAAAACTGAGTATTTTTTGGTACAAATGTTCCAAAAAGTTCCCAAAAACGGCATTTTGATCTGTTATTTTTTTATAAAGTTTTCTTCAGTGCAATTTTGTTTTTGGTCAAAATACTGACTTTGTAGTGTTCTGGGAGCGCTCTAAAAATCAATTTGGTCGACCTAATACGATTTTTTTTTGAAAATCCGTCACCCCTCTCGAGAAAATCTTAGATCCTCCCCTAATTGCAAGAGAAGGCAAAAAAACTTAAAATATAGCCAGCAGACAGTTGAAAAGAGTCAAGGAACGCAAGAAAACAGAAAAAAAACGACACATTTTTTTCTTAAAAAAACAAACTTTCGAATTTCAAAGCGAAAATATGTGACCTTAAAGCTCTTTAAAATTCAAGAACAAAACATAGCCAACAGACTGTTGGAAAAGAGTCAATGAACTCAAGTAAACAGAAAAACAAAACGAAACGGATTAATTTCTGAAAAAATCTGAAATTCCAATAAAAAAATTAAATGACCTTAAAGCTCTTTGAATTTCGGAACAATTCTGATTGACACTTTTTCGAACAAATCAGCCCAAACTGAGAAAACTGGATCAATAGGTAAAATTTCTATTTTGCTGAGTAATCGATAAGTAAATTCCACTTTCGAAACTAGAAAACGGTCACGTTTTTCGTGACCTTTACACTTGCACTCTTCGATAGTGGAGTTTGTCTTCCTTTTAACAAAAGAAATTACTTGAACTTAAAAATAAATCAAAAACCAAACCGCGAAAAAGCGAAATTCAGCGTGAACAAACTTTAAGACTTATCCTGAAAAAAATACAAAAAATTCATCGCGACCTATATAAGAACCTTCACTACGTTTATGGACTCCTAAAATAAAATAAAAACGCCAGCTATGTGAATCAGCTTTCCGACTTTTACCTTTACAGTCTAATGCCTTGACAATTGCGCCATATGTTCATGCTGTACTCCGAGCACTTTAGCTGACCACCAGTTGAACGAGGTTGAAAACAAGTAAACTCGAAATACACGACTTTTGTTTGTATAACAAGTAGATAACGAAAAATGGATGTTATCAGAAAATTCTTCAGAAGATAAAAATCGTTTGCCTTGCTTCAAGAAAAAAATTCCAAATGAAAGAAAAAACTTGAGACAAAAGAAATGGCAACTCTTTGAATCATTTGCAATTAAGGAAGCTGAAAATCCATTCGCATAAGTTTCTGAGCAAAGAGAAATTCTGAGCAAAAACTTAGCAACATCAGACAAAAAGTTAAATTGAACAATTGAAAAAAAAGTACAACTCAATTTCGGAAAACGATTTACTAAGACTAAAATTTCAAAAAGTAGTCACACCTAGTGCCGAAGCTGCAAAAATAACAGCAAAATAATTATTAAAAGTCTGCTAATTTCCTGAATCGAACACCCGTTCAGGAAATTAAGAGTAACACGTTTAATATCATGTGCCATGGTCGCTTGAAAATTTTCAAATACTAGCCACCATGAACTAGATACAAAGATGTAATGATATGCAACAACAATATCCAGATACAGTGTTATTGCTGCAAAAGTGCCACCAAATGAATGAGGACGTTTATGGGTGACTTAGGTTAGAAAAAGTGAAATTCGTAATATGACACTAAATAAATAATGGAACCGCGTGTGTAAATGATAAATTAAATTTTTGATCCGGCTTAAGATCAGCCGTAAAATCTGCTCTCTGGTGCTTTATTATGGGAGCTATTCTCATGCACGAAGGACCGAATAGGCAAAAAACTCGTGCGCGAAAACAATATTAGCCGAAAGTCAATTTTTAAAAAGAATCCATTGCCATTCAAACAAAATGGATTAAAAGAAGCAATATTTTGCTTCTTTCAAAACGAAACCCTTGAAATATAAAATTTGTTTTAATTCGGCGGCGGTCAAAGACAATTTGAAAATTTTGCATATTTCTGCCGTTTTTATATTCGGCCTAAATCAAAATTAAGTCCGTGGAAACGTTTACTTTCTTTCAGATTTTCACGCTGTCTTTCCAAATTTTAGATTACTGAAATCTGATTTTAAATTTTGCACATTCGGTCCCTCGCGTATGAGGCATTCCACCTTTTATTATCGGTGGCGATTGCTTTCATAAGATAGTTTTTTGGTGACATAGATTCGATATCCAAAATGTTAGATGCTTCAAGGGATGGGACACAGTTAGAAGCAGTAACCATACAGCAAAAAAGTTCAAGTTTTGTTTTTGAAACCGAAAATGGGTGCCTACGACTAGCAAGTTTCAGAACCTTTGGGGATGGGTTTGGACTTTTCCTTACTTAATTCGGTCTTATACCGACAACGATTGAACAATCACTTGGAATTTTGATTCATAGCTGAGATTTTATGTCATTACCCTGTCTAGACAATGCCATATATCAGCTGCTTTATGTTTATTTTAACTTTGGCATCCAAACTTTGACTACAGATGTGAAGAATACTCTTTAACGAAAGCATAATAACGACAATGAGAAACAAACCGTGTCTGCGAATTGGTTCGTGTCTCCATACACCGAATTTCCCATGTATACAGACTGGAAATTTGAGTCCTCGATTGTCTGCGGCCATTGCTGATTCGTATAACCATCTGCAGTCTGACTACTTATTGGCTGTTGATTATCGTTTTGATAAGCTGATGCATGAGGAGCTGTATATTGGTCAGCCAACGCCAATTCTCGCAAGGTTCCTAAGTACTCAAAGAGCTTAACTCATCATTATACTAAGTATACCCAACATAAAAAATACCCAGCTGAAAAGAGCCCATGAGTGATTTGACCGACAAAGGAACTGTTCAGCTATTCAAACATAATCACTTCAGTGACCGTGATGATGACCTACATTCATTGCTTGACTCCTTTTCTGGATTGGGTAAATTTTGTCCAATATTCAGACAACCAGACAGGACTTTTCTTTGCTATTTTTGCAAGCACGTGTATCCAATTCACCCTTGGGTTACTTAACAGTTTGCAAACATAGAATATTAAATCAAGCATTAAGTCGGAATATTAGTCACACTATAGCGAATCGGAGAGGGAAAAAATTGACGGTAAAACTACGACATTTCATTTTTTTGCCATAGAAAAGGGCACAAACTAGACATTACCTAACAGACTTATGAAAGCACAAATCAAACTTTTGAATTTTAAAGAAAAAATAGATTCCCTTTAAGCTCTTTGAATTTCTAGGCCAATTTATGAGGGTCGCTTTTTTTGATAAGATGAAACCAACTAGAGAAAACTGGATCAATAGGTAAAGTTTATATTCCGCTGGAAATCTAAAAATTAAATTCCACTTCGACTAGAAATCGTTCGTTTTTTTTCGCACCATTTCTACGTTCGTATTTGGAGAGTTCTATTTACGCCACTTACAGCAGATGAATTTCAATTCAACTCAAAAAGTGCATATATACCTAAGTGCATTCATAAATGCATCAACATACAAGACTGCACATAATGTAGTTATTAAAGACTTTTAAAACTTTTCCTGAAAAAAAAACAAAATAAATCAGCAAGACCTATATAAGAGTCTTCACTACGTTAATTATTCTTTAAAACTTGGTTATACGCCCTTTAAGTCCGGAAAAGGTTAATTATAGAAAAAAACTAAAAGCTGCAGTGACGTTCGAAATTCCACATTTTTTGTCCTCTTCGAAGCACAGAATGCAAAGCATTAGAGTTTTGCAGTTCAAACAACGTACAGTAAGGTAACGAGTTAATTTACCAAGCCGACACTACTCAAGCCGGAAACTTAAAACATGCAGAAAAACGAAAGCTGAAATTAAACAACTCTTAAAATATGCATCATTCGAAATCTTTCGATGGGTTTTTGGCCTTTTAAAAAAGTTTTAGCAATATAAATAGTGTAGTCAGAGCTGATCAATGTAAGAATCGGAAGAGTTGAGTCACCGATCGATGAATTAATCTTTTCTTTTGACAGGAGCTTTTTACCCTTGACATATATTGCGGTGAGGATGATAAATCTTCATCTTTAAAAACAATTGAAAGTTTAAGGTAATCCCTATTACTAAAAAAACCTAAAAAAAAATCTAATCTCACTGGGTAGATTTAAAAAATCTGAATTTGAAGGATGTTAATACCATTTTTTTCAGCAAGATTGCTGAAAAAGTGATGTTGATATCCTTGACTGAACCTCACATAAGAGAGTGGATCCACGCGCAACCCTCAAAAGCGCTGGGCTTAGCCTTACCTACCCACGAGTTTAGCGTTCTCACCAAAAGCCGTCTCGGTCTGGAAATTTTCCTATCCAGTTAAGTGCCTCCTTTGCTCAAACGAGACACTCAGTTCACACAGCACGACTTGACAAGCAAACGTTACCAGAAAAAACTGTAGTACTATCGCAAGCGTAAAGCCGCATTTCATTCATTGTTTTTTAGTGACTAAGAAAATGGAAAAAAGACAAAAAATCCAAAAAAAATTGTACCGAAAAAGTATATGACAAAACATGGCCAGTTTTGTTTGTTTGTTAGCCCATTTGGGCTTGTCTGTCTACAAGTTGAGAAGCTTCGCGTTATCTACCGGCCGAAGGGGTACAAGGTTATAAGGGGTACAAGTTGTGCATATAGGAGAAAAATATGTGCTAAGAAACGCATGTGTTTAAAAGCTAACTTCCGCCGCATTGGAAATGAGAGAGCTTATAGCAGTTAATTCTCGAAGGAATCAAAAGGAAGGAAGGTTATAAGGCTCACCCATTTGTTCAATTTTTTGCTTTTTCAGAGCACACTGATAATGACTACTTGTGGAAAATTTTTATTTTCCCCTGAGATCATGCAAAGAATGATAATTAATTTGCAATTAAAATTGCTTTTTTTTAGCAATTGGCAGAATTATTATGGAATTATTTGTGCCATTTGTGTCTGTCTCCAGGTTGAGAAGCTTCGCGTTATCTACCGGCCGAAGGGGTACAAGGTTGTAAGTGGTACAAGTTGTGCATATAGGAGAAAAATATGTGCTAAGAAACGCATGTGTTTAAAAGCTAACTGCCGCCGCATTGGAACTGAGAGAGCTTATAGCGGTTAATTCTCGAAGGAATCAAAAGGAAGGAAGATTACAAGGCTCGCACATTTGTTCAACTTTTTGCTTTTTCAGATCACACTGATGATGACTTCTTGTGGAAAACTTTTATTTTTCCCTGAGATCATGCAAAGAATGATATTTAGGTGCAATTAAAATCTGTTTTTTTTTCTAGCATTTGGCTGAATTAATATGGAATTATTTGTGCCATTCCCCCAGATTGGCACAGCGGAACCTTCCGTCGCAGCACGAAAACAACATTAGAGGCCTTAATGGTTATAAATTGATGTAAAGGAGCATCAATTTATAACCACTAAGGCCTCTAATATTGTTTTCGTGCAGCGACGGAAGGTTCCGCTGTGCCAATCTGGGGGAATGGCACAAATAATTCCATAATAATTCAGCCAAATGCTAGAAAAAAAGCAGATTTTAATTGCAACTTAATATCATTCTTTGCATGATCTCAGGGAAAAATAAAATTTTCCACAAGAAGTCATCATCAGTGTCTAGAAGAAAATTTTTAGAAAAAATCGAATTGCGACGGTACATTTCTGAGAAATGTAAAAACGGCCATGTTTAGCCCGAAAATACAAGAAAAACACAACAACCCGAATAACAAGTGCAAGACAGCTAATTGAAGTCGATAGAAGGAAAGGAGGCCTCAGTGGTGCAGACGGAAGGAGCAGTACCCTCCCGTGCCACGAAGTTAGAGTAATATCGACGTTATTACTGGAGCGCGGAATCGGAGACTCGGCCCCCAGAGACTGTCATATGGTGAAAAACTATAGTAAACTAACTTTTTAGCTACTCTGATGTCCTAAACATTTGAATTAACACCGGTATTATCTGTTATTTTAGAGTATGAGTAGCTAGGAAGAGGAAATCCATCTCCACCAAAAACACAGTAAAATAGGATATTCGAGCCGTGTTTTTCATGGTAGTCATGTAGTCTGGGGATCCGATACCCAGCTATGTGATTATCTTCGCATGTAAACGGAAGCTGATTAAAAGTCGTTTGACTGATGGCCTAAAAATGGTAACTTTTTACTTAGCCCTAAACAGACCAGAAAATCAACTGGCTAGGTCGAGACGGTGAAAAACGAGTAGAATTTAGGTAACTGACACCGGCCAGTCGTCAATAGGTGCTTTTTCTACACTCCGTATTTGTGTAGTATTTGGGCGAATGTTACAATTGTTAGTTGCAAGCGCATGAAAAAACATGAGGGAAACGGAACTGCCGGTCGCAATTTTTCCAGGAAGTTTCAATCCATAAGTTTTAGGCATGTTTAAAAAGTGTAAAGACGTTTTCTACAAAATAAACGAGGAGAAGGCATATTACAAACACATATTAGCGTTTAACTAACATTAGAAGAATAGATCAAAAACTTGTAGGCAAGTTGCAACCGGCGATTCTCGCTTCGCTCAAGTTTTCCACAATTTAGATAATCATGACTAACAAGCTGACCTTAAGAACTACAATCAAACTTCAAAAGCTTACTAGGAGATGCTGATCGCGTTGCACTTGTATCAGCCTGAATGTTGCCTTGAGTGCTCAGACGTCCAGGGTCAGGGAAATAGGATGGATCATACATATCTACCTGAAGAAAAGAAAAACATTTATTGAATGGGTCCTTCCGTCTCGCGAATATCAGTGCTCAGGTTGGATAGGGCGATACAATTGAATCGTTAAAATAAGCATAGCCAATTATTAACAGAAGGCCAGAAACTAGGGCTCTGCAATCATTATACTCAATAACTGTTCTTCACCTTAATTGACGTATAATTGAATTGTTCTGATAAACTTATTAAATAGTATGTGTGACATTCGACCAGAAAGCCGTCAAAATGCATGGCGACTTCGAATTTTTAATGTGACCGTGAACTGGGAAAATTGGCGGTTTTGGCGGATCAGTAGTATTAATCTGACGATTTGACGAATCGATAATGGTCAGTTTGGCGTTACGTAATAAATTTTGAAAATTCGTTCAAAAATAGCCTAATTGTTGTGAGCCTAATTGCTGCCCATCTACTAGCCAAAATAGCCTAATTGTTGCCCATCTACTCACATTCCGTCTGTTTTAGAACCACGACACTTCTACAGGACCGATCAGAAGCGACCAGACGGTTTGACGCTCGTTCCATGGGCTGTTGGTAAGCAGCTCTTGTGGGATGTAACGGTAGTAGACTCCTTCGCTCCTTGTAGGATTAATACCGGATCTGTTTGTAAACCCTGGTACGGCTGCCGCTGAAGCGGAAGAGCGAAAAATTGACAAGTATAAAGATCTTGTGAATAATAATAATAATAATAACAAAGGATTTAGGACTAATCCAAGGGTTCGCATAAAACCCAGTGATTGGGAGGTTCAGCGTGCGTGTTTCAGTTGTTAAAGTTAAGTTTCTTCAAATCTCTACAGTTGTTGCAGCCACATAATATCCGCCAAGTGCATGCATCTGACTCGTTGTAGCGGGTTTTGAAGAACTTCGTATAAACTTCCAGCAGTTTAATTTTGCATCCTGGATCAAAGATTATGTCAAATTTGAAGAAATCGTTAAAAAGGTTGGCTGGCCTCTGATAGTAGTAATCTGATTCACACTTCTTCAGACGTATTTGTTGGCAGGCAAAATTTCGTGTTGCTTGTGTTCTTCGAGTACCGATGTCTGTGATGGTTACTTGACTACGCCAGTCTATGTCAACTTTTCCGGTTAGTATTTTGGCAAACAAGAGAATAACATGAAGTTCTTCATATAAGGAGATTGGAAGGATATCGAGTTTCACGAGCTTATCCTTATAGGATATGTTGTTTGTGATGAAGATCCATGATACTGCTTTTCGCTGGATACTTTCAAGAGTACCTAAGTCGCCTTTTGATGGTTTCCAAAGGGCTGATCCGTAGTTTAAAATGGGCACAACATAGCAGATATATGCGTTCTTTCTGGTCCAAAACGTCGCTTTTGAAAGATTCCGTTTTAGGATGAAGAGAGCGTTCAAGGCTTTTTCGGTCCTTTTCTTTGCATGCAGAGTCCACGAGAGTGTGTCATTTACGAGAATTCCCAGATCTTTCATACATTCAGTTGTTTCAAATTCATGGTTTGGCAGTGCAATAGGAGCTGTACCTTTAATGCAGAGCACTTTACTTTTTCCTAAGTTCATTGACATGAAAATTTTGTCACACCACCGCCACAGTTTTCTAACGTCTATATTCAGTGTTAAAGGGTTTTCGCCTACAATTTTGTTGTCATCAGCATAACCGAACGATTTGGACATGACACATGATGGAAGATCAATTATGAAAACCAAGAAGAAGAGCGGTCCGAGGATGGAGCCTTGTGGTACGCCACTGAATACTTCTAATTCATCTGAAACAGTGTCATTTAGTCTCACAGTTTGCTTCCGTTTATAGAGGTAGCTTCTTAACAGATTCAAACAGTTTCCACCAATCCCCAGAGCAGCCAAGTTTTGTATGAGAAGCTCATGCGTGACTTTGTCAAACGCTTTCTCGAAGTCTATATAGAAGATATTCAGATAGGAGCGGTTTTCAGACTCTAAGCAGCTATAGATTTCATGCAGATATTCTATAAGGTTCGTTATAGTTGACCGTTTGGGTCTGAAACCATGTTGGGCTGATGCCAGAGTTGGGTAAGCAATTGGAGTCAGCTTTTCGAAAATCAGTTTCTCTAGCAGTTTTGAGACTGTTCAAAGCAGGCTGATAGGCCTGTAATTACTCACATCTTGTTTGTCTCCGTCTTTGAGTATTGGTGCAATTTCACTGACTTTCCATTTTTCCGGAAATCGGGCTTTATTTGCGATGAGGTTAAACAGTAAGTGCAGTGATTTTGGCAGTGACTTGGACAGACTCTTCAGAAGTAAGTTCCCGATCTTATCCGGTCCTTTGGCTTTATTTACGTCCAGTAGTTGCAGAGCGTTTTCTATTTCATCGGTCGTAAAGTGAATCTGATTTAGTAGGGTGCTATTTTGTTCGCCAATTTCCGTATAGTAGGTGTTTTGAGTGAACACTGATTGAAAGTATTCGTTGAATAATATTACTTTTTCAATATCTGTATTGGCAGTTCTTTGATCCAAAAAAAAATCGGTAGGGATAGTGTTCGACTTGGTGATCGACTTCAAGTATCTCTGTATGTCGCTGAATTTGCCTTCCTTGAAGAGCGTCTTCTCATGTAGATGCTGGTCATTTTGAAGCGACAGGGTGAGCTCAGTTTGTAGACATTCGATTTTGATTTTGTTTGACGGCGTGGGCTGCCGTTGTTGTTTCAGTTGAAGTGTTTTTAACTTCTTGATGAGGTTTGAAGAGTTGCCACTTACCCATGGAGCCAGTTCGGACCTATGTTTCGTAGTTATTGGAAGAAGATCCTTTAATATTTCATGTAGCCACTTATACCAAAGTTCAACCATCAAGTCCACGTTGCTCATGCAGTATGGTCGGAAGGGATGTTGGAGAATGAACTCATTAATTTTTTTCCAGTTAGCTTTCTTGTATGCAAATTTACCGAAGTCTAGCTTTTGTTTGGGAGACGGTGAAGAGATATGTACAGGTCGGATGTCAAACGAGACTTTAGCTTGATAAGGTTTGTGATCAGAATTGAAGAGACTTCTCAGATGGTTATCAATGACTATGCTTGTCACATACTGGGGTTTATTGCATAAGAGAACATCCAGTGACCTTCCGTCCTGGGTTTTTATGAGTTGCTGAAAATTTGATTCACATAGTTCATTGAGGATTGTTTGCTCGAAAAGAGATGTTGACGTCATTGAGGGCCAGTGTGTAGATGAAAGATTGATGTCTCCAGCTATATATGAGCAAACAGCACTGTATTCGAACTGTTTTCGCCTAATGAATTTTAGGAGCTCAACGATGTCCGGAAGAGTCCATGTGTACGCACTGTTTGACGGGGCGCTGTAAAGACAACATATTAGGAATGTTTTATTTAAGCTTATACGAATTATCACACAGTCTTAAAAAATTGAGTCAATTTGAGAGCTGGGAATGTTTTTGCTTAGTATATCGCTAATGCTCTCTGTGAGCCACGTTTCTGTTAGGCAGATAATTTGATAAATATTTTTCACTTGAACGGCATTGGAGAAATTTGTTCGGCGTTGGTATTCAAGTATACTTCTCACATTGTAAATTAGTATATTTATGAAAGCTGCTAGTCATTCGTCCGCCACGGTAAGCTTCTCTTTTGTCCACTTTGCGCCCTGTCGAATGAACAGGGTTGCGTCACGAACACGCAGATTTTTCGGATCGGTGCCTTTATTTATCAGTTCTTGTCGTCTCACAAGAGCTAAGTTTTCAAGGTCAGCTTCTTCTTTGTCAGTTGTTTGCTGAGAAAGATTGGTTGACTGAAAGTTTTCAGCTTTCTCGCTGATAGCAGTACCATTCGACGCTGATATGCATTTGGAACTTTTAATAGGATAGTTCTCGTTTTGTTCTCTTCATATCGGCCAAGTCTTATGACGTCGCCTATAATAGCATTGACTTCCATATGGGTTAGTAGTTTTTGAACTTCTACAAGGTCGTGTTCTTGGCGTACTCTTGCTTCTTTTTCCGTTGATTCTGGAATACCACGTATACGAATTCCATCGAGTTCTTCGGGAGGTTTCGGCATTTGTTCTTGTGATTTGGTAATCGGACTATTTTGAGCTGGTTGCCCGGAATCGGGCGGTTTCCTTGTGAGAAGCGTTTTGATTTCGGACACAGTTTTCTTGAGGTCAGTCATTTCGGTTTCAAGGTTTTTCATCTGTTTTTCTTGGTGTTCATTTGAGACCGTGTTCACATGGGCAGATTGTGCTAGCTTTTCGTGGCGCTTCTCTTCGATGCACTTGTTACAAAGAAGTAAGGCATTTTTTCCGATAGCCAGTACTCCATTGACAGCCGCTTCACTCAGGCCAGTACAATTTTTAGTCAGATGCATTCGACAGCCACAGACGAAGCAGTCGAATGAACTTTCATTTTTCAGGATTTTCTCATCACAGGTGAAGCATGAATCAGAGATTGATTTGACTCGATTTCGAGTATTATGTTTAGACATCTTTGAGGGGCTCAGAGCCAGAGACTCAGTAAGCGCACCTATGTAAAGAGTAAATCTAAAAACAACTTCAGTACTTATAGGGAGGGGCTCAGAGCCAGAGACTCGATAAGCACGCCTACCTGTTTAGTGTTTTAGTCTTTTCGCCTCGCGTCTCTCTCCAGCTGATCTTCGCTTCGTACCACGTGTTTTGAAGATCCGTTTGATGTTGGGGTAATAGTGCAGTACAGTGGCCAAAGTACGTAACTCATTGTCAGAATGCTGATGAAGTCTGCGATACTCAGCAAGCACCGATTCGTCGATTTGTTCAGACGCGCTGATAACGTGCTTTGTCACGTCAATGACGTAACAGTCCAAAGATTCACAAGGTCGTCAAAGATGTACGGAGCTCCTACTCGTTGACATGTGACAACGCAGAAGAGATTAGGAATTGTTTTCAGAGTCGCGATGAGTTGATCAACCGTTTGGGGAATGTTATTCTTTTTTGGATGTGATGTTATTGTGTTGTTGAGTAGGTCATGCCACAGTATAAGGTTACGTTTCCCCAGG